CACCCTGCGATGCAAAACAAGGCTCTCAGGGTGGAAGAAAGGAAAATAAAGGCACCATGGAAAAGCTCCCATTGAAGTCAATTGGCTTTGGATTGGGCCCAGCATGTGTGAGTTTACTGGAGCACTGTCACTCTAAGCACTTGGAGAGGGACTTGAAATATACAAACCGTGATAAAATGTGGGTGTTAACAAGCTAGCAAAATCTTCTTGAAACACCTTAACTCTGACTACAGGTGGCATAAAGGGGGGTAGGGAGGGGTGCTTTCTGGAGAGGAGCTAGTGAGTGGGCTGAGTAGAAGTACTAAACCTAGGAGAAAGGTTCTGTTGACTGGCAGGATTCATTTGGCCAGACTTGAGGGAAGACGCTGGCTTGCAATGAGTCAAGTTCTCCTCCACAGTTTTCCTCCATAACAACTAGGGGGTTACCAAATGAAATGAACGGGTAGTGGGTTTAAAACAAACCAAAGGAAGTTTTTCGTCACGTAGCACACCGTCAACCTGTGGAACTCCTTGCCTGAGGAGGTGGTGAAGACTAGGACTTTAACAGGATTCAGAAAAGAACTAGAGAAATTTATGGAGGTTAGGTCCATCGATGGCTGTTAGCGAGGATGGGTAGGAACGGTGTCACTAGCCTCTGTTTGGAAATGGAGGACAGGAGAGGGATCACGTGATGATTCCCTGTTGTATTCCCTCCCTCTGGGGCATCTGGCCTTCATCACTGTGGGCAGACAGGATCCTGGGCTAGATGGACCTTCGGTCTGACCCAGTCTGGCCGTTCTTATGTGAAGTTAGCTGTGGGGAAGCTCTGGGAGGCTGAGGTTTCAGGTATAATTTAGATCTTGGGCCATCTAACCCGACTGAGCTAAACCCGCAACAAGCAAGCATCTGGCTGCAGAGAGGGTGAAGAGACAGTGAGAAGTTGTTGTAGGTGAATATAAATCATCTCTCTTCTGCATTTTTTTGACCTTTTCAGACACAGAAGGCCTCAGGTGGGATACTAGGGGGGAGCAAATCCCTGGCGTCCAGGGTAGGAATAACTCCTTGGGAGTCTGACTTGTATCTTGATCCCTTCCCTTCCAGACTGGCTTCTCCGGGCACAAGAGGGGTGGCAGTTTTTATACTGATTTCTCGGCTCCTCTGAGTCCCTCTGTGCCGCCAGGCTGCAGCGTGCACCTAGATCTCATTAAGGAGGAAGTGAGCCTGTCATGTACAAACGAACAAGCTGCAACCAGCCTTACACTCCACGATCCTTTCTAGCTGTTATTAGTGGTTTAAGCCAGCAGCTAAAGAAATCCTTTCAATAGAGACATTGTAGGGAAGGGAATGTGTGTGTATTGAAAGCCTGTTAGCCTTCCCGGTCTATTCAGAGAAGGGAAAAGCAATAAGAGCGGGGAGTGTGCTGAGATCTCCAAGGGTTCTTGTATGGTCACGTTAGTCTGATGGGTCAGCGCTTGCTCTTGCAACTGCAGTGCCTTGATCACCTCGGGACCTGGAGGGTAGTGCTGGCTATTAGGTAAAGCTGAGGAGGGGGAGAACCTCCTTCCAGAGCCTCTGCTATACGATCCCCTTCTCAGGATGCCGGTGGCTGATTCCCCTTGGTGCACAGGAGGCTGGTGCTGTCTTGGGTTGGAAACCTGCTGGATTCCAATGGGGTAGGAGGGGGCTAGGTGGATCCTTTTCCACTGGGCTGGTGCATGGGGCTCTTTATCCCTCATGCCTCCCATCGTGGGCTCTGGGAGAGGAGGGCAACCCCGCTGCCCACCTCGTGCAATTTCCTTGAGGTCCTGTAGGAGCGTGCCATGCCCCAACTTGGCCCTTTGGCCCTTATCATTGGGCCTCTGTCTCCTGAGCCTCTCTAGTCCCCTGCCCCATACACCGGTGGTCAGCAACCTGCGGCCTGTGGGGCGCACTTGTTTAAGCAGGATAAGCCTCTGGCAGGCCGCCGGATAGGGTGTCTGTCTGAGTGTTCACAAGTACAGGCCGCCCACAGCTCCCATTGGCTGGGCTCCACAGCTCCCAGCCAATGGGAACTGCTGCAAGAGGAGGACAGGCAGTCCCAGCAGCCAGCTCTGTTTTCCGCAGCTCCCATTGGCCGCGGTTTGCCATTTCCAGCCAATGGGAGCTGGGGGCGGCTGTGCCTGGGAACACAAGGTAAACAACCTGTCTGGTGGCCCACCAGTGGCTTACCCCGTGAAACTGCACGTGGCCGGCGGGCTTCAGGTTGCCCACCCCGCTGCCCTATGCCATGTAAGCTGGCTGCAAGGTTGGGCCAGGTGACTCCTCCTTAGGTTGGGAGGGAGGCCAGTGGTTTAATGACAGGGCTTGGCTCTTTAGGAACGCCCAAGCTGCAAGCAAAGGCAGGTAGCTACACTAGTCTTTGCTTTAGCCTAGCTAGCATGAGTGGTAATAGCAGCATAGACTTGGTGGCACAAGTTTCAGCATATGTTTGCAACCTGAGTACATGCATGCTGGGAGGATGCACTATTCGGACTGCTAGCCTGGGCACAGCTGGGCTACAATCCATTCCAGCGTAGACAGACCCTTGGTCTGATTCCAGCAAGCCACTGAGCGAATCCTCCTCTTCCCTGATGCTCATGCGAATCCTTGTGGCAGTTCCAGGAAAAATTCCAGCCTCACATTCTGGTTTCCCTGAAGGAAACGGGATCAGTTGGCTCTGTTCTTGGAGGGAATGCCCTCTAGAAACGTCCTCCGGCCTGCGCCGTTGAGAAGAGCTTAAGTACAT